GGCAGCTTCCGGGCCTTCAGCCTCACACCGGGCCTCCATTCTTGGTCCCTTTTGTTCTGTAGATGTGTAAGAAGGTCTATAACTCCTCTTCTGTGCATGCATGCAGATAGGGGGGCTGTTCTTTCTTTTCCTCTGCAGACCCCTCACTAATACAACAGAAGTATGAAATTGATAAAATAACTGAAAGCAACTACAGTTACAGTTTCTGAAAAACCAGAAAATGTAATTCACACACAAACACACACACACGCACACAAACACAAGCAGATTTGTCTGGACAAAGACAATGGAAGAGAAAATGGTTTACATAAAAAAAATGGACAAATGTTGAACCCCCAAATTAGTCTCCATGGCTGTTATCTTTGATAGCTTGTATATATGTGTGTGTGTGTGTGTGTGTGTGTGTGTGTGTGTCTGTGTGCATGTGTGTGTGTGTCCTTCCTCTTTCCCTCTCTTCATATTGATGAAGAGTAGTGAATGATTATTTAAAGTTAATTACTTTATAGATAAAAGAGGAAAATTCCCCTTGGGAAGTGTCTCTTTCCTCCCAAGTTCTCCATATTGGAGACTCCTACTTTGCTCATACTTTTTTTTTTTTATTACCTGTAGTGTGTATGTGTGTGTGTCTGTGTGTAGTACATATGTGTGAGTGAATGAGTGTGTATATAGTGCATGTGTGAGTATGTCACATGTGTGAATGAGTGTGTCTATGGGCACACTCAGAGACACACATGTACGGTGCATCTGGGGGTCAGAGGTCAATGTCAGGCATCTTCCTTTGTGATACTCCAACTTAACTTTGAGACAGGATCACTTACTCACCTTGGAGTTGGCAGTTTCAGTGAGACTGATTGGAGAGCCAGCCCCAAGGATCCACCTGTACCTGCCCCTCCAATAACCAGCACGCCTGCCACTATGCTGGGGGTTCATCTGGGTGCTAGCGATTCCAACCCAGGATCTCATATCGTGTAGCATTTTACCCACTGTGCAGTTAGCCCTGCTCTAATCTGCCATCAATGAATTCAGCTGGGGAATTCCACTGGAAGCAGATACAAGACCATCTGAGGAAGTCAGTGTCGTAGGGAAGAATAGGATTGGGAAAGCTGGCCAGAGCCTCCAATTCCATGGGTTGCATGTACGAATATGTTAAGGCTCTAATTTTTTTTTTTAAATCCGGGGCTGGGCCTAGGGTCCTTACTTCTACCAGACAAGGAAGTCTCACACCTCTCTCCCCCCTTTCACAACATAAAATTTCTTCAGCTGGGTGATGCTACAGCTTGAATGTCCTGCCAAAATTTTCATTGAAATAACCTTTAAAGTGCATAGCGGAGCCTCATGACTGGATTGAGACCTTTGTCTTGGAACCTTGCTTTCCTGTCTCTCCTGTGCTCGCCTCTCTGCTAAGCTCTCCCCAGGGCTCAGAACAGGCTTTGGACTGGTACTTTTTGGACTTTGTGACATTTCTGGAGATTCTGTCTCATCTACGGTGAGTTAAAAAGGAGTGAAAAGAAAGTAATATTTAGGAATTGTGCTTTTTTATGGCATTCTACTCCACTTCAGAATTTTTAATAAAAATCAAATTTTTATTTACGTACTTGGTGTGGAGGTCAGAAGGATAATTTGTACAAGTCAGTTTTTTTTCCTTTCCACTTCTTTTTTTTTTTGAGACTTTTATTTTATTTTATTAATTACACTTTATTCATTTTGTATCCCCCCATAAGTCCCTCCCTCCTCCCCTCCCAGCCCCACCCTCCCTCCCCTTTCTGCATGCATGCCCCTCCCCAAGTCCACTGATAGGGGAGGTCCTCTCCTTCTTTCTGATCTTAGTCTATCAGTTCTCATCAAAAGTGGCTGCATTGTCAGGGTTCTAGGTTATCTCCATGGATAGTCCTTGGTTGGAGTATGAGTCTCTGGGAAGTTCCCTGTGTTCAAATTTTCTTGTTCTGTTGCTCTCCTTGTGGAGTTCCTGTCCCCTCCAGCTCTTACTATTTCCCACTTCTTACATAAAATTCCATTCATTCTGCCGGTCAGTTGGCCATCAGGCTCAGCATCTGCTTTGACAGTCTGCACGGCAGAGGCTTTCAGAGGCCCTCTGTGGCAGGTTCTGAGGTTGTTTCCTGTTTTCTTCTTCTGGCTTTCAGAGGCTCTCTGTAGCAGGTTCCTAGGTTGTTTTCTGTTTTCTCTTTCCACTTTTTGAGTGGGTTCAGGGAACTCATGTCTGGGTTCTCATGTTTGCATACCAAGTATTTGGCTTGACTCAGCTATCACCTGAGCCCTAAATTTTGCATGTTATTAGTCTCTGTCCTTGTAGCATCTGGATGAAAGTAAATTGGCTTTGGTTTTGTGGTGACTCATAAGGTAGTTGATTCTCAGGACACATCCTGGTCAACGCCTGACATAGATGCCCTGTGTCGTGCTCACCCTGTGTGCTGTTTGCATCTGAGTGTTTATTTGCTTTCAGCAAAGCCTGTATGCTATTCTCCAGGGAGCAAGTCCTTATCTGAAATCCCAGGCCCTGGGCTGGGCACCGAGGGCTCCACCATACTTTGGCTTCCTTGAAGAGGGTGAGGGAAAAGTCATTGTTAATTAATCAACACTTATTATTTGTGTATATATCTACCTACCACACACCCACGGCTTTTGACAGAATGCAGAGGTTGAGGCCCTGGTGATGGGGTAAGCATTGGATATTCGAGTCACACCTCTGTTCTGCAGCTTGTCCTTCTTTCTGCTTCTGAACCTTCTGCTTTCCTGGCACCGAGAAGAGGCTGCTGAGTGCAGTTTATTAACCCGGAACCCACCAGGAGGGGAACGCTTTCCTGCAAGTCCACATTAAAACACACCGACAGCAAAATCCAAGAAAGAGTCAACTTTAGGAACTATCTTTAACCTTGAGAAGAAGCTCAAGAAGGGGCACACACACACACACACACACACACACACACACACACAAAATGTGTGGCATTCTGTTCTAAAACTTGAGGCAAGACAGCATTCCAGAGTCTGGTTTCTATGCTTGACAAGGTGCTTGGGAAATAAAGATGGTGTTGGAAGGTTCTGGGCTCTCTAGCAATGGAACTATCAACAGGAAAAGTCTAATGAAGGTCCTAATGAGAAATGTTTCCACATGAAACAGTGATTATTTTGCCACGCATAGAAACATACATTTAGTAATAACCCGAACTATTTTTTTTATAAAGATTACGTGAATTCTAACTCTTTGAAAGTTAAAGCGAACTGGGTGGCGCACAACTTTACTCCCAGAACTTGGGAGGCGGAGGCAGGTGTAACTTTGTGAGTTTGAAGCAACAAATGCATGCACAGCTTTAATGTTTCAGCATTACTAAGTGCACTCAACGCCATGCTGGCCTCAGAGATGGTGGACAGGTCACTTTCACTCTTCCGAGTCGCTGTCTAGTTGAGCGACTTAAGTTGAAATAAAAGATGTAAAAATAGTTGTGGCTTCACTGGAAATTATGTGCCCCTCTGCATTGCTGCTTAAAACCATTGGGCAGGATGTTTGCCCTTTTGTGGAAGTGCCACAAATGTACTGATAGGAAGGTGAAAGGCGTGCTGCAAATATTTTGGACAGTCATTGGATATTTAGTGGAATTTCTTCTTGATTAATCTTTTAGATCAGAAAACATGAATAAAAAAGTTGATACAATTTCATTGTTTAAGTAATAACATTTTAACATATGCATAATTGGGTGGAAGAATTCTTTCTGCTTAAGGATAATCAAGTAGCAACAAACAAACAACAACAACAACAAAAACTATTGTAATAGCCCCTGGGCTTCTCAGTAACAGCCAAGTCTTCTGAATCTTATTCTATTATCGATATATGCATGTATGTATGTAATGTATCTATGTAAGTATCTATCTATCTATTATCTCTCTAATCTGTCATCTGTCTCTCTATCCATTTGTCATCTATCTATTGCCCATCATCTGTCATCTGTCCATCTATCAACTATCATGGTGGGAGGGGTGCATGCCTTTGGGTACATATAGGATCTTACTTTTTAAAAGCTTTATATGGACATATATTAATTAGGCATAATAATGGATTTATATGTGTAATCTTCATTTATGTATTCAATGAATTCTGATCATACAAAGTCTTTTATTTAGGAGGCAGACATCTAACATCTTTCAATTACTGTCTTACTCAGGATGAAAACACTAAAGTTTAATGATAATGTTTTCACGTGAGTCCTTAACATTGGGTTCTACACAATCCTCTGCGGCCTTTATGCCAGTTGTCAGCTCTTCCCACCCACCTTTCCTTCTTCCTTTCCTCTCTTCGTACCCTCGTACCCTCTTTATTCCTTTCTCTTCATCCACTGCGTTTATTTCTGGGTGTATTGTGTGTGTATCACATGCCAACGTTTTTGGTGATGGCATGCAATTGGTTCAATTTTGACATTTTTCTGTTAGCACAAGATCAGTTGCAGAAACTGCTCGTTATGAAGACACACCTCTGGGGTTGAGGCAAGGAGAGATAATAGGATAAGCCTAGCACTTGTTCTTCAAAGGTATTTCTAGGACAAGCTTATCCACAAGAATCCCTGCTCATCTCCTGTAGCCGCCCACACAGTTCTCAGCACTGTCTAACCCAGGGAGTGAATTGTCATCCCCACTCCCTGAGCACAGGCTGTTATTTGTTACAGCCAAATAACAAAGGCCAAGTGAAATCCATCAAGCAGCTCTGTTTAGAGGGATTCCCGTTTAAGGCGTGCCATGCAAATCAACAACAGAGAACAGGGCTAGCTCAGCCTCGGCCTGAGCCTGCCAGTGTGGGCTGATGCTTCCACCGGCAGCCTCGTGGTAACGCTTGTGGTGGGGCACAGGGCCACCACTGGCGACCAGAGAGATCCACTCAGATGACGCTGGATACAGAGTCAGTTCTCACAGATGGACTGACACTTCCGATTTGGAGACATTTCGCCTTTTCATTTATTCTTACAGAAACAAGCCCGTCTGCTGGGTGGAAGACAATGATTCCTGCACTTTGGCTGTGCAGCTTGGTGCTTCTTTTGCCTACAGAGTCGGGCAGGATATTGTGCCAGGTAAAAACAGGGGGGAGTGGATGTTGATCTGGTCCGGAGAACAGATGGATGAAGAATCCACCAGTTCCACCAGCTGTGTTGTCTGAGAGCGGAAGCATATGGGGAAGGTGGGGATGGAGTGGGCGGGCACCAGCTGAAGGAAGGACAGCGACAGGGGACGGAATGACCACCTTGTTGTGAATCTGTTTTACATTAATTTTCCCTAGTCAGTTCTGGAATACGGTGGAGCTGAGATGATTCAAGGGTAAGAGAGCCACACTCCCCGTATTGTATTCTTGGGTAGTTCATCTTTCACCTGCTATCTAGGTGGTTGCTGTGTCCTCAGGGCCTTGAGCCATAGAGGTAGTGAAGGGTGCCACAGTTAATAGGCGATTCTACTGACAGTTAGGGGGCATCTTCCCATTCAAAACGGCAATAGCATTTCCTTTTGGAATCTTGGCGGAAGAACAATGGTGGAGTTTAAAGCAAATGACTCTTTTAAATTTAGCAGGGGCAGTGAGCACCGTGGCTCTTTGTGGTATATTTTCCCTCATGCCATACGCCTCCATAATTTTCCTCTTATTTCTTTAAAATAAGGTGTGAAGAAGCACTGGAAAGTGATGGTTTTTAAAACATTTTGAGAGTTTGGGGGAAAGGGTGCTACGATTTGACCGGAAGGCCTGGAAGGCGGCTTGGAGACAAACTGGTGATGCTCTCATTCCTCATGTTACAGACAGGGAGGCTGGGGCCAGGGCTGTAGAGTGTGGTTCATATGAGAAAAGGAACTAACCAAAAGCCTCCTTGGGAAGACCTCCCCTATCAGTGGGCTAGGGGAGGGGCATAGGGGGGAAAGAGGGAAAGAGGATGGAACTGGGAAGAGAGGAAGGAGGAGACTATAGCGGGGATACAAAGTGAATAAGTGATAAATAATAATAATAATATAATAACAATATATTTTTAAAGCCTCCTTAGGAGAGATGATTTTGGAAGTTCTCATCATGAGTTTTCCAAACAACACTTCCCATCTAACGAGTTTGCCCTTCTTCTTTGTGACTCCCCCTTCATCCCAACATTGAACTGAAATCTGGTGTCTGGGAGAAATTAGAGATGCTTTGGGAAGATCTTTTGCTGTGGCATTCTAAGGCGGCTCAGCTTGGTACTATCTTTTGTTTTCTTGTCTACAGTTTTCAACATAATGTGGAGTAGGCAGAGCAGGGGAAACAGTTATTATGGTTACTGTTGGGGTCACCCTACCAGGAACATTTCATCCTTATCTTCTCAAGCTGCCAGGTTCTCTCCCTCTCCTGACTGGCCTATGAACCAGGAAGCTCAGCGGTTTGAGTGAGTTCCAGTTTAGCATCTACCTTTTTGTGCAGTATGAGGTTGAGGAATGCTGGTAGTTGGAACTAAAATCACCCTGGATGCTTCTTAGACATGAACTGACCAGAGGGACCAGACATGATGTACCTCAGAAAATGATCTGGGTTGAAGAAAATCTGGGTTGAATTTTCAGAACTTTGCTGTCAACAGCATTCCACAGCCTCTGGCCCACACACCTAATTAATCAGCTGCATTTTTTTTTTTTATAGTTTGTTTACTGACAAGAGATCCTTCATAGGTGTTGACTTTGGCATACTGCAGATCATGGCCATGTCAGTATGAGTTTGGGGTGACTTCTGAGGTTTTTACTTCCTGCCATACATCCCCTTTACCTATTGAACCTGAAAATGGCCTGACATCTAACCTTAGGAAAGAGCCATGCTTAAGCAATCAGGAGAGCAAAATTCTAATCTCAGGAATAAGAAGAATTCCCCAAGTGGCCTTCTTCAGGTCACCTAACCTACGTCAATCTCTGCCTGCTTATTGGTAAGAATAAGGAGGTTGGATTAGGCTATCTACACAGGCTTCAAGATCTCTAAAATATTACTGTAGCCTTTTGGTTTAGTGGAAGCAATGCAGCTTTTTGATGGAAACACTAGGGATTTGTTCCCATGAATAAAAATGATAAGCTGTCATACACTGGTAAGTCTAAGGGTATTCTGCTTCATGAATTCCTCAGTGATTTCATCTCAGCTACTGAGAGACCTCAAATGCCCAATTCAGATTCTCCAAGGTTTTATTTGGTGGAAAAAACAGTGAGTATTCAATCTTGTTCTTTGATAACATAGGAAAAAATAATATTGTTAATAAGAAAATAAAATGAATCTCATGTGTCGGTCAAATAGCAATGTCCAGAAATAAGAAGACTGAATTTGACTATTTTCCTATACACATATTAACATATGTGTTAATTTATGCATTTGTGAATACTTGCATACCAACATGTTCTTACACAAGTAGACAAGACCTTGAGTTATTTACATTGGGGGATAAAGTAAGACAACACACAATCATGTTTCTTTTTTATTATTACCATTTATTACAGTTTATTCAATTTGTATCCTGGCTATGGCCCTCTCCCTCATCTCCTCCCAAACCACCCTCCCTCCCTCTTCATCCCCTATGCCCCTCCCATAGTCCACTGATTGGGGAGGTCTTCCTCCCCTTCTCTTTGACCCACCACGCCTATCAGTTCTCATCAGGACTGGATGCATTGTCTTCTTCTGTGACCTGGCAAGGCTGCACCCTCCGGGGTTAGATGATCAGAGAGCCTGTCACTGATTTCATGCCAGAGAAAGCCCCTGCTTCCCTTACTAAGGACCCCACTTGGATACAGACTCTATGAGCTACATCTGAGCTGGGGTTTTAGGTCCTCTCCATGCATTGTCCTTGGTTAGGGTATCAGTCTCTGCAGACCCCCAGGGCTCGGTGTTTATGGCTCTGTGGTCTCCTTTTGGAGCTCCTGTCCCCTCCAGGTCTTTCTATCTCCCCCTTCTTTCAAAAAGTTCCATGCCCTCTGCCCAAAGTTTGGCTATGAGTCTCAGCCTCTGCTTTGATAACTCGATCAGTAGTGTCTTTCAGAGGCTGTCTGTGCTAGGTTCGTGTCCTGTTCCTTGTCTTCTGCTTCCAATGTCTATTGCGTTTGTCCTTCTGAATGAGGTTTGAACATCTATCGTAGGGTCTTCCTTGTGTTTTAGTTTCTTTAGGAGTATAGATTTTAGTATATTTATCCTGTATCATGTGGCTAATATCCACTTATGAGTGAATATATACCATGTATGTCTTTCTGCTTCTGGGTTACCTCACTCAAGATTATCTTTTGTAGTTCCCACCATTTTCCAAAAAGCCTACAGCACCCGGTGGTCTCCCATCCAAGCACTAACCAGGCCCGACCCCACTTAGCTTCCAAGATCAGAAGAGATGGGGCACATTCAGGGTAGTATGGCCGTAGGCCACAGTCATGTTTCTAATGAACTTAAAGTTTAATTGAGAAGATACCATGAAAAAGGTTAGAATGATAGCACGACAGATGAGTCGAGGTTGGCTCTGTAAGCACTGTTGTATGGTAGCGTGGTTGACAAGTCCTTCAAAAGGCAGAGGGGAGGTTAGGCCACCTAGAACTCAGGCCGAAAAGATTGCTTTGAAGGGCGAAACATGAGCCTGATGTAATGACTATTCAGTCTGTATAACAGCAGCAGCCAAATCACAAGCAGATCTCACACTTCTCAGGGTGGCCTACGGGTTTCCCACGTGTGAACTCATTTATTCCCTGCAAAGACAGTAATGCTTGCTCTGCTGCTGATGGAGAAACAGAGGCACAGTTGAACTTTCCCTCTTAAGTGACAGTGTCAGGATTTGAACCCAGGTTGGCTTTTCCCAGATGTCACTCTCTCAGGACAGCCAGCTCTGCATAGGTAGGTGGGATAGGGGACACAACTCCTTTGCTCCATTAAAGAAGAGTAACATAAAATACAAAATGCAAAATGAAAGAGAATGTTTTCTTAGAATGAGAAAAAGAACCAAAATAAATTTCAAACAGAATTACTAATGGGATTTGTATCCAGAAATTACCCAGTAGTGCATTCAGTAAAAATAACACTGGTAATAATTAATAATTTATGAGATAAAGCTGCACTTGCGTTTTCTTACATTCCACATATTAGTGAACTTATAATTTTTTCTGCGTGTAATAATAGAAAGATCCTTCTTTCATTTAAAAAATCTTTTTGTTAACATTTATTTTTTTGTATTTGTGTGTTTTTTTCTGTGTGTACATTTGTGTGCCATGTGTGTGCCTGGTGCCCTGGAGCTCTAGTTAGGGATGGCTGTGAGCTTCCATGTGGGGTGCTGGGGATTGAACCAGGGTCCTCTGCAAGAACAGCTGGTGCTTCTAATGGCTGAGCCATCTCTTCAGCTCCCTAGTCTTTCCCTTTGCATTGCCCTATACTTCTCGTGTTGTTTCTAGTCTGGAAAAACACCGTTTAGTTTTTCCACTTGTTTGTTATTAGCAGTGTCATGTAAATATGGAGGATGGCTATGAAAGTTGGGGAAACTTCCCTTTTCTTTCCAAAGAGCTGCAAGATGTCAGGACATGTAACCTTTGTTGTTCTGTGGCCACCTGTAAATAAATTTAAATCAATGAAGTTCAAGCATTGACGTTCTTACAATTTAGAACTGACTACAAACTACATAAGTATATCCAATTAAATGCAATGAAATGTATTCCTCACACAACTTCTTTCATTAATGCATGCATCACTGTACCGATGCTCCAAACAGGATAGAGTGTGAAGGGGGAGGGATGGGATAGAGTGACACAAAAAGGAGCATTGTCCCAACAGATGGCAGGCAGTTAGAACATTTTGTCTTTGAAAAATTGATAAAGATGATCATGTGAGCATGTGCTCATGTGGCACGACATTCTCCCAGGGATCAGTGGGGCCCGTACAAGCGAAGTAAGACATCGTTAGCTTTCTAGTAAATTTCCCTCTGCCCATAATGTAACTTCAGGGCAGGCTATAGACTGTAATGATACCGAATTATGAGTGGGAGGAGAGAACAGTCCCTCTTCCTGGCACTGATGGGAAAAATGGAAGGAAAAATCACTGGGCCATTTGCAACAGCTGGGCTTTCAGTGGCTGCGTTTGCAACACAACTGACTCAGATATGGTTGTTTGTGACTAAAAGGAACCAGTGGTGTCACATGTTGACATTTGATTTTGCTGTGAATTTTGATTTTCTCTTTTCAGGCCACCAGCCAAAGCAAGGAGAATCTGATGTCCAGGACACATGGTATGTTGGCAGCAGTTACCAAACGCACAGAATTTGGATGTCTGTTGTGACATCAGGCCACCCTCTGTCCTTTCGATCGTGCAATGAGAGATGAGACACCTTGATAGATTACGTTTGTATTTTGATAATTTACATGCAAATCCATCGTGTCTTTGGCCCCAGCAATATTCATCTCTTCCCTGCATCCTCTGCTACACCTCGTCTCAGACTTCTTTGCTGTAGAATTCTCATTGGCCTAATTCAAACCAGGGCAGTGACAGGAATAGCTTTCACTGACCACGAGGCTTGCTAAGAAGTTCTGGGTTGGAAGTTTCTTTGGCAACATCACGGAGAGTGGAGTACAAACTAGAGCTGACCTGGGTTCCTCTGGGACTATGGGGAGGTCTTTAGGGGTCTCTATGAACATGGGAGGGTAACTCAGACTCAGGACAATAAATAAGAGCCTATGGGCTCTTTTCTCCTACTTAATGGGAGGACTTTACACTTTAGTCAGTTTTATACATTGGAATTCAGCATGCGGCTCTATCAGAAACGTCAGTACCCTGTTTCAGAGCTACGTTATTATTGCTAGCACATCATCAATTATCTCTAATCTCACCAAGAAGGGATACCCGTACAGATCTGATGTGCCTCTGCCACAGGCTAACTGGCTGACGCAGCCATGGCTGCAGATCTTCCTGTCTGATATGGGTGTCTTTTATTTTCCCAGCTGTATGTGATGGTGCCTGTAAGAAGAACGAGAACCCCTGCTTTCAGTCATGCCCCCCTCACAGTGAGGGCAACATAGAATTTGCCTGTAAGGCCAGGAAATGGCACAAAGTCACCGAAACTTGCCACACCCTTAATGTCCTCAGCATCTTGGAGGTAATATCCTTTCTTCTGTGTTGTGGATTCTCACGTGGGCTCTCTGAGTAAAGCGGAGCTTCAGATAATCATATCACTCACTCAGGGGAGGAGACAGGCTTCCACAGCAGCAAAACGTTGCTTGTCCGTGGATGCGTAAGTACATACCTACAGCCTCTCTCTTCGCTTTGGACCTCTGAAAGTTAGCGCAGCGGATCCCTCCCTGCTGCATGAAATGTAGGAATCTGGTCATTTAGAACTCGCAGAGAGAAGGTTGTCACAGTCAGCTTCCCCATCTTTGCCTTCAGCCTTTAAAATAACCCAGAGCTTTGGTACCCACAGTGGACTTCACTGACTAGTAATACGGCCCCCCAACCTTGTTAGACCCATGAAATTTGGGCTGCACCTCAGACTTCAGTTGATGAGGAGTTGTGGTTCTATCAGGGTCTTCATAAGATGTGGGTGCCTGCAAGGGCCTCAGGTTTCCTGGAGCTGGAGTTGTAGGCAGCTGTGAGCTACCTGATGTGAGTCCTGGGAACTGAACCATGAGTCCTCTGCAAGAACAGTGTCCACTCTTAACTGCCGAGCCAGTCCTCCAGCTCCTGCTATTTTTTTTTTTAAAGACTCTGTGTCTCTTGGTTTGCCTCTTGGGAATGTAAAAATAAGTGGAAAGGCAATAGCAATCCATGCAAATATGCAAGATATACATGAAATGTATATGTACAGCAAGTGTTTGAGGTGACATGTTAAAGAAAACAGGTGCTGTTTCAGAAATCAGGGTTAGGGAGCCATCAGTTGGGAAATTTAGAAGTATTTTTTGCTTCGTACCTCTTGGTGTTGGTTAAGTTTTTCCACTCTAGATGCGATTTTGAAAATGAAAAAATAAAAGCATATTATGTGATATAGAGTTGTACAAAAGGGGTCTTCTAAATTCTAGCAAAAGTCCCTTTGTAGTTAACACCAACAAATAAAGGATTTCTTTACTTTGGTTCTGTTTCAGGAGGATATAGAATTATATTCACTTCAACAAGCAGAATCAACTATACGTGACTTTCATAGACAACCTGAAACCATAACAGATATATTGATGCAAAAATGTCCAGAAGATTTGTCTTGTGTGATCCAAAGCATTCAGAAGTCTCCCCAGTTACCGGGAAATATTGCTGTTGTGGTTCAGCTCTTACATAACATCTCAACAGCTCTATCCAAAGATGTTGATGAGGAAAAGATGTGGGTGAGTGGCCTTGCATACCCGACAGAGGGTTATCCCTTTGGGGGGAAGAGACTTAGGTTAGTTGGATCCCAGAGCTTAAGAACCTTATCCCACCTCATATTTCTAATGTCACATATAGCAAGTGCTCAATGAATCTCATGGAAGGAAGAATAGTAAACAAAAGAGTAAAATTAACATATTGGGTCAAGACCCATTGACACAGAGGGCTTATTTGGTTCTGTGATTGGCTTCTCAGTATCTATCTATCTATCTATCTATCTATCTATCTATCTATCTATCTATCTATCGATTGACTGATTGATTGATTGATTTTATTTCCCTAGAGTCTGGGTCTGTGATGGGTGGAGGATGTAAGGGGCTAAGACCCTAAGAAGTTGAGCCTTTGAAGGGTTGACTCTATGAGGGGAAAATTCTGTGAAGGTTCAAGGCTGATTCTATGATTGCTGCAGTCTTTAAAGGTCAAGGTCTTTGAGGGATTGAATCTGTTCTGTGAGGTTCTGGACTCTCTTTAGGGTCCAGGGTCTGCTTTTCTGAAGCATATGAAAGCTACTGATAATATTTAAGAAGCATTGGAGGTTGAACAAAAAGAACTTGTGAATTCGAAGAAGTCACTAAAATGGAAAACAGTTAAGTGTAAAACAAATGGCCAAAGCTTCGAACTACAGAATTTTGAAATGAAACTGGATTCATTTCTTCATGGGTTTGATGCTTAAAGTAGAGAGTAGTAAAGGGTGATTCAACCTCTGGCCAAGTTTCAGTTTTCAGCATATTTCTATACAGGGTCCCGCAGCATGGCTGTGCTTAACAGATGTCAACTACATTATGGGTATTCTGACAAGACAATTAAAGGATGGGGTTTGTCCATGTGTGTAGTGGAACTGATAGTAGAAATGAACATATAAAAACTTCATACCTTCAGTTTGCTCAGGAAAGCAAATAGGATTGAGCAACTAGGAGGAAAGCAAGGCAAAGAATTCCTTTACAGATAAATCCTCTAAATGCTATCAAAGTGTGTGTGTGTGTGTGTTGTGTGTATGTGTATACACATGTGTGTACAGGCATTCATGTGTGAAGGTTAGAGGTAGATGTCAAATGTCTTTTTCAGTTCCTTTCCACCTTATTTTTTTTTAAAAAACAGAGTTTCTGGCTAACCTTGGGGTCTCTGGCTAACCTTGGAGATCATTGATTTGGATATACTGACTGGCCAAATGAGCTTCTGGGGTCCACCTGTCTTTGCCTCCCCAGTGGTGGGATTACAAATGTGCCACAGGCCTCTTCTTTTACATGGGTGCTGGGGATCTGAACTCGGGCCCTCATGCTTCTCTGGCAAGCACGTTAATGACCGAGCTGTTTCTGAGCCCCTGTCTAACCTTCCGATGTTGTGAAATGGTACTGTCAACTACAAATGTGTTGTGCTTCATTATTAGCTATTATGGGATGCATGCAGCCTGTGGGCCACAGGTGTGACATGTCTGCTAGTAAGCATAAGATCTACTGGTCAAGCAAGTCACCCAGGGGTTCTGCCAAGATACGGAATGTGACCCACTGAGTTTGCGGTGGGGTGTGAGATCCTTTGTTTCTAAGGAGGTCTGGGGAAGCGCCTATGCTCTGTAGAAGAAAGTCTTACAAGTATTGGGGGTCTCAAAGAGTGGCTCGTTACTAATATGCCAGTTCTTCTTTGGCAGAGTTACAGTGCCATGGCTAACCACATTCTTAACAGCACCAGCGTATCAAATTGGACCTTCGTCCAAGACAGAAACAGCAGCTTCATCTTGCTTCAATCAATCAATTCATTTGCAAGCAAGCTATTTCTGAAGGAACATCTCCTCAACATATCACATGACTTCATCCATACCATGGGTACCGTCATGTCCAGGGGCAATCCTGGGAAGAATTTTACATTCTCAATGCGAATTAATGACACGAGCGATGAGGTCACGGGGAGGGTACTGCTCGCTGCTGAAGAGCTTCAGAAAGTACCTTCTTCTTTCCAGGTCATCAGCATTGCTTTTCCAACCCTTGGGGCCATCCTGGAGGCCAGTCTTTTTGAAACCGTGACCGTGAATGGGCTTGTCCTGTCTGTCATTTTGCCTAAGGAGCTTAAAAAAATCTCACTGATATTTGAAAAAATCAGAAAATCAGAAGAAAGGAAGTCCCGGTGTGTGGGCTGGCACTCCCTGGAGAGCAGATGGGACCAACGCGCTTGTAAAATGATTCACGAAAACTCCCAGCAAGCTGTTTGCAGTTGTTGGCCAAACAAGTCATTTACCTCTTTCTCCATTCTCATGTCACTCGACACCTTGGATAGCCCGGTTCTAATTTATATCACCTACGTAGGCCTGGGCATTTCCACCTGCAGCTTGGTCATCTGCCTGTGCATTGAGATCTTGGTCTGGAGCCAAGTGACGAAGACGGAGATCTCGTATTTACGCCATCTGTGCATCGCCAACATCGCTGCCACCTTGCTGATGGCTGACGTGTGGTTCATTGTGGCTTCGTTCCTCAGTGGCCCAATATTACACCACAACGGCTGTGTGACCGCAACATTTTTTGTTCATTTCTTTTACCTGTCTGTGTTTTTCTGGATGTTTGCCAAGGCTATCCTCATCCTCTACGGAATTCTGATCGTGTTCCATACACTACCCAAGTCATGCCTGGTGGCCTCTCTCTTTTCCGTGGGCTATGGGTGCCCCCTGCTTATCGCTGTTACCACGCTTGCTGTTACAGAGCCTCGGAAAGGCTACCTCCGGCCTGAGGCCTGCTGGCTTAACTGGGACCTGACCAAGGCTCTCCTGGCTTTTGTGGTCCCAGCTCTGGCCATCGTGGTGGTAAACCTTATTACAGTCACACTGGTCATCATCAAGACGCAGAGAGCCACCATTGGCAGCTCCATGTTCCAGGAAGTAAGAGCCATCGTGCGGATCTGTAAGAACATCGCCATCCTCACGCCACTGCTGGGGCTGACCTGGGGCTTCGGAGTAGCCACGGTCGTTGATGGTCGTTCCCTGGCCTTCCACATCATCTTCTCCTTACTCAATGCTCTGCAGGTAAGTCCAGATGCTGTGATGGAGTCTGAATAGACCGAGCATGTGCAGTGGTTTTGTGATCAGGAGCCTAGGCATCATGCTTCATTCAATTAAATAGACATGTGTATTTGTTTCAGAAAGGCCCACACTTCAATTCTTCTTGTTTGTTTTTGTTTTTTTGAGACAGGTATTTCTGTGTAGCTTTGGCTGTCCTGGGCTTGCTTTGTAGAGCAGGCTGGCCTCAACCTCACAGCCACCTGCCTCTGCCTCCCCGAGCGCTGGTATCACAGGTGTGTGAAATCGCGCCAGGCTCCTGCACCTGAATTCTGACTCTCTAATTTACTAAGAATACGTAGTATCATCTTTGCATGCTTAGTTTTTACAAGCATGGAAGAGAGTTTTTACATACTGGAAGAGAGTAAAATGCTGCCACTTTCTAGAGGTGCTCAGAAAATGAAATAAATGATGAATGCGAAAGTGGTTAAATTCAAATACTAAAATTAGGTACTGAAGACCATGAACACCTGTTAATAGGCTGGGGCTGTTTGTTTGTTTGTTTGTTTTTGAGATGTGTCTTATATATCCTACGCTGGCCTTGAACTCACTATGACCATATACTTCTGATCTTCTTATCTCCATCTCCCAGGTGTTGGGATTGCAGGTGTGAACAACCATGCACCATTTTTGAGGGCCTGGACGTTGAACCGGGGGTTTCATGCTTCCGTTACATTTTCTGCTACTTAGAGTTTCTAGATAGCAGGAGGTAGTAGGTACCACTTTATTTGGACAAGGCAAATGATACAAAAAGGCCTTAACGGCCATTTTTTTTTCCACCCTTCTCACACTTGATGGATTAAGCAATGTCCAAAGTTTCATGTGTACCCTGGCTAAATTCTGTATGCTACTGCAGATACAGACTTAGTACAAAAATTGAAAAGTTACGTAGATAATTATGTACATTACAGACATGTGTGCCTCCCACATATTCCATTTGAGGTGGTGCTGGAGGTCCAACTCAGGGCCGCTAGGGTTTGCTAGGCTGTGCTCTATCCACTGAACTACATCAGAGCTTAAAGTCGTATGTCCTTCTTTCACTAGCCTAGTGTATAGGTCTATTTAATGTTTGGATAGTACTTGCTATTTAACATTTTCCTTCCTGAGTGGAATTACATTATTAAATGTGAAAATTACAATTAATTAGAAAGAAATCTGATAGTTTCCTAAAGAACTAAACAGTTTTTTTTGGAGTGTATAGAGTAGCCAGTAAAAGTATTTTCAAGTACATGTTCTACCTATTTGGTAACAGAGACTTAAAATCAGTTATGTACTAATTTTTTCTCTTTAAAAATGTGAATATAAATGACATTTTATAATAATCACTTTGATGCCTTAAGGAACGGTACTAGGGCATGTATAACATTTTAAGGTTTTTTTTGTTGTTGTTTCAAAACAGGGTTTCTCTGTGTAGCCTTGGCTGTCCTGGACTCACTTTGTAGACCAGGCTGGCCTTAAACTCACAGAGATCAGCTAGGCTCTGCCTCCTCCAGTTGTGGGATTACAGGCGTGAGCCACCATGCCCAGCTTTTGCTTAGCATTTTAAATCTTGGCTATTTTCTATATTTCTATAGAAAGTCTAGATTTATAGTGATGTTAGTCATTATCAGTTCATTACACGTCTTTACAAAGCTAGTCTTCAATGGGACCGAGGTAAGACCCCAGTGTTTCTAACTTTCAGCTCAGCACAGCCCCAGTCTACTCTTCATAAACCTTGTCTTGGTTAGGGTTTCTATTGTTGTGAAAAGACATCACGACCCCAGCAACTCCTCTAAAGGAAAACATTTAACTGGGGCTGGCTTACAGTATCATAGTCCATTATGGTCATGGCAAAAAACATGGCGGCATGCAGGCAGACATGGTGCTGAAGAAGGAGCTGAGAGTTCTACATCTTGATTTGCAGGCCTCAGAAAAAGACTTTGAGCTTATCAGACCCTAAGGCCCATCCTCAGTGACACATTTCCTCCAACAAGGCCACACTTACTCCATCAAGGTGACACCTTCTAGCAGTGCCACTCCCTATGGGCAAAGCATTCATACACAGGAGTGTGTGGGTGACGTTCCCATTCAAACCATCACAAACCCTTAATAAACCCCTGTCTCACACCACAGCAGTCCCTCTCCTTGAACCCCCCGGGCTACCTGACTTTTATTTTGGATTGGACTGTGAGCACTTGTGTTTTGAGACTGTGGCCATTTTCACTTGTAGTAGGATCAACTTGAAACTCAAATCATTTTCTGCCTTGACGCCTGTCAAAGAGAAGGATGAAGTCATTGAGGCACCAGTACCCATGAGGTAGTGGGCAGCTGCCAACCAGTGTGAGTGAGGGCTAAGACACTGAGATGGGAGAAGGCAATGCTATACTGGCCGGCACCAGCTTATGGAAACTGACTTATATTTTAGGAATTTTGTTAGCTCGTTATATACACAGCCATCAGTGAAACTCAGATTTACAAGGGTTGTAGTAAATAAAAAGTATCAGGCCAATGCTTATTATTAGCCCTATAATTATTTTGGTGGTATTATTTAACCTGCTGTCACAATCAATAAGATGTAGACACCTGTTAGATTTTATAATTGCCTTATTTACCTCGGGCTGGGCAGATAGTCAACCCTATGCTATCTCAATAACCTCCCTATGCATTTCCCATCCCCCACCCAATGCCATCTGCCTTAACCATTCCTATCTGGCCCATCTCCCATCCATAATTCCATAAATACTTGCTTATCCTTCTTCTAGACCTCTCTCTCCATCTACGCCACTTTCAGAGTCCTTCCTCCCAGCTATGTGTCTTTTTCTCCATGATAAACCATCCTGGCGTCCTCTTTCTTCCTCTCTTCCTATCTGTCTTTCTCCTTCCCATGAGAAAGACACTTCCCACTTAGCATCCAAGAATTGTGTGTAAGGGACGTTGCTGTCTACAGCATTTTAAACGGTGGGGGTTTTAAAAGTTCCTGGAACTTCCTTTTCCTTATCAGAAAAATGGAGCTATCCTCTTAAGTGCCTTCCACCAGGGAGATTTTGTATCGTTCTTAGGGGAAAAGGGAAAATATGAAAACAAAAACCCAAATGGGTTGTAGCTGTCCAAGATGGTCGTCTTTTCACTGTTGGGGTCTCCCTCTGCGTGCATGATGTGAGAAGATTATGAGCTCATGTGCTCTTCTCTGTGCCATGGAAGTGTCTCTCATTCATTACTGTTCAGAGGCTGCAAGTCTGCATTGCCTAGTATCTCCTCTACATCGTTCTGGAGGGGAGCAGCTCCTGACAAATGAGAAACATTTTCACGTCCCTCAACCTGAGGTTTCTAAGATGTCCCTGCATAAAGCAGCTTTTGTCGTTGTTGCTTTAGACAGTATCTGTTGGACAAATGAGTAGGCACTGTGGCCTTAGACTAGGGAACAAGAAGATGGGATAGAGTTGTTTCTGAATGGCCAGAATAGAAGCAAGGTGGCTTTTGTTATTCTTACCATCATTGTATTGTAAATGGATTTACCTTCCCTTCTATCTTTCACAGGGTTTCTTCATCTTGGTGTTTGGAACAATCCTGGATCCAAAGGTACTGTACAAACCATTCTTGGTTTCCCCGTATTGAATACTTAGCCTAAAATGCTGAATTGTGAAGAATTTATTGAACTTTGACCTCAAAGCTTCAATCATCTCTTTAAAAAATTATTTTGAGATTTTATTTTTTATGTGTATGAGTATTTGCCTGAAATGATGTCTGGGCATCAAGAGGGTGTAGTGCCTGCAGAGGCCAGAGAGGGCGTTAGATCCACCTGGAACTAGAGTTACCGAAAGTTGTGAGCTGCCAGATAGGTGCTTGGAATTGAATCCTGGTCTTCTAAGACAGCCAGTGCTCTTAACCACTGATTCTTTTCTCTAGCACCTTCTGGTTCTTTTAATGCTGGTGATTCTTATTACCTTTCAAGATCTTTTGAAGATACACATTTTATACACCTTAGCTCTAAACCTCAAAACAGTCCAGGGGATTTTTATTTTGTCGCACAGAAAAAAAAAAGAGAGAGGGACTTGGCAAAGAAACAGCTTGCTCGAGATCCTGCTCTGACTTCTTGTGGCATTAGAAATGGAATTAGTTCAATCTAACAATAATATTTTGGGGAGATGTCTCTTGGATTTGAAAGCCATACACCAGAAATAGCACCCCTGCCCCCCCCTCCCGGCACAACACTTCTGCTCAATGAGAGACCCCAAGGGGTTCAATTCCTAACACTTGAAGGCTCACAATCAATCACTCCAGTACAGGGGATCTGATGCCCTCTCCTGGCCTCCAGGGGCACTGCATGCACATAGTATGGCGATGTTTCTGCAGGTGAACAGTTCACAGCCGTAGAGTAAAAAGTTTAAAACAAAAATTAAAAGTTAAAAAAAAAAAACACCAAACAGTGAAAAAGAAATAACACCAAAAGAATTGAAAGAAAAATACCTACATTTACTTTAGGGTGTTACATTTTTAAACTATCAGTGCTATTGTGATGTTAGCATCAAAAGTTTGTGAGAGGAATTAAAAAAAAAATGTCTTCATTGTCATACCAAGATGCTATGTCAACCTAAAGGTTACTTAGAGGTAAAACGAAGTTGCGCTTGATATTTCTACGTGTAGACATAATCAGGTAGACAACATTTCAACTCTTACACTTTTGAGTTTATGACTGTGCAAGATGGTGTCCATTCAGCAGAAACCCTCTTTTGGACGGAGCTCCTTTCCTGGGCTAGCCTTATTCATCATGGTGCTCTCTCACCAGACAGGGCAGTGGCATGGAGCCGCAGCTCTGAGTCAGCCGTGAGCTTACCATGGAAAGCAGCCGACATTCCCTGGTGTCACAAAGCCGCTGATCAGTAGATAGGCAGACCAAGTGCAGTTGTGACTTGAGCTAATTTCAGCTTAGCATGGGCTCGCTTTGATGCAAGCCCCTTCCATGGTGAGCATTCTAGCTGGACTCCACAGTGCATATGAGCCCCAGATTTTAAAAGAAATCT